CGATGGGATATTAAGTTACTACAGAGAACTTTTTCCAGAGGGTCTGGCTAGAGAATCTTGCCCGCATGCTCGGGGTTCAGCTAATCGCCATATTTGGGGTCGGGAAGGAATTTTCCTCTAGGGTAGATTGGCAGAGGCCCTGGAGGTTTTTCGCCTTCCTCCGCAGCATGGGGCAGGGGTCGCTTACTGGAGGATTCTCAGCGATTTGAAGTCTTTAAATCATGATTTGGGGACTTCAACAGCTGAGTCAAGGGAGAGAATTATTCCAGGAGTGGGTGGGTCAGCTTTAGTGGCCCGCATCATGCAGGAGGTCAGACTAGATGATCATAATTGGTCCCTTCTGACCTTAGAGTCTATGAGTTTGCTCACTTCTCTGATCAGCCAATTCTGGGGGCAGAGTTGCTCTCTGGGAACCAGGCTCTAGTGCTGTTCAGAAATTCCCAGAAGAATAAATTTGCCCTGTATGCTGTTTGACCACCTCTGTTCCAGAACTGGTGTATGGGTAAGCTTGGAAGTATTAGATATTTATCAGTAAATGTTGATTTCATCATACACGCTGAAATTGATGAAAAATATTTCTCGCGATAGTAATTGAAAGATACAGATGGGCAAAGTAAGAAAAGTGCTGCTTGAGAACTTATTAGGGTTTGATTTAAAGCTATTTACGTTGCATATTTTGATACGATGTTGATAATTTGTGTTTTAACAGCCATAAAGCTTTAGCTCTTTGAATCTCGGTGTTTGACTGTCACTAAATAATTATTGTCTGACCACCCCCCCATAATTTCATACAATTGTGAACATTTAAATAAAAAAACAAAAAAATGTTTAAAAATAAACATTCATATTATCCATCAAAATGATAAAAAAAATAAAAATTGAATTCTGCCAAACCTATGTATAGCATAACTACATCAAAGTCAAACTTAGATTATACCCAGTCTATGTCACTGATTTCTCCTCTACTGGAAAAATAACCAGCAAGGCCCCAAACATTTGCTACCATCCAACAGAGGAGCGATGCTGGTGTCAGAAGAAGAGGCAATACAATTAAGTTGCATGGTGTGAAGGAAGAGAGAAGGTGGCTAGAGCAAAGAGGAGACAGTCCATGAGATAGCCTGGAGCTAGGATGTGGCAGGTTTTTAAACAAAACTGGATCAGGAATGGAACAGAAAACCAGCGGAATTGTTTCAGGACAGAAGTGAGGGGATCGGCACATGGCAGTAGGTGTCTGCACATGCAAACTGCCACCCCAGATCAGAGGTGAGATCCATCCAGCCCAATATCCGGTCTCTGACAGCAGCCCGCACCAGATGCTGTAGGGGAAGGTGCAAACAACCCACACACCACATATGGAACAACCTCCCCAAACAGAAGTTTCTCCTGGAGCCCAGGCTGTTCCTAGGGGTCAGCTTAGATCCTGACATAGCAGGCTTGGCACCTCAGATTTGTATCCCCTCGTATTTATCATTAATGTGGAGAGCTGAAACACAGGGAAATCATAGGAAGGAGAGCCAAAGATCGGGGTGGAGCCGAAGCAGCAGCATGCACAAGCAATGCTGCAATGGAGGCAACAAGGAAGGTCCCAGACGCTGGACAGGAGGGAGGTGGAAAGGAGAGAGGTCAGGCTCAAGAATGACACTTAAGTTAGAGGCAAACAAAAGGCAAGCTGAGGTGGGAACTAGAGCTGGGGTGTATGGGGGAGACTTCTATAGCCTGAGAGAGGCATTTCTGCCCTGGAGACTTAGAGGTGAAAGAACTGAGACAGTACAGCAAGGTTACTTGATCACAACAGGCAGAGGGATGGCAATTCCAAGGTCAGGATACCATCAAATTTTGGGGTTCATTAACCCTTGCAGGCCTCCTCTTGGAGCCTAGTTTACTGCTGTGATAACATGTGGGTGCAGGGGAGGGGAGAGACACACACACACAGGGTTGGGATAATTGGGCAATGAGCTGTGTTGTACCATCCCGTCCCATTACCTCACGCGCCCTCTGTTTTTCTTCCTGAAGATGCTGGGCAAAATCCTTGACTATTTTCTTCTCCTGGCGCTCTTTCATCTTTCGCTCCCAGGAGGTGCGGAGGGGCTTGTCCTGAATCATATGGGAAAACCTAAAGAAGAAGAGAGGAGAGAAAGAATTCCCATTAGCCACCAACACACAGAGGGGAGCATTTACATTAAGACAGCTTCACACGGAACAGACTCCAAAGCACTTTTACAAAGGGGAAAGGCGTTATCCTGGGTGCCCATTTAGCATTAGTGCCCATCTCCAATTCCCTTTGTTTGTAATACATCATGGGGAAAGTCACAAGCCTTCCTAGATGCCAGCGCCATAAGCCTCCTTATATCACCCCCAACTCTACCCTACCCCTCCCCCACACTCCATGGTCTTACTCCTGCCCCCCCCCGCACCCCAGGCTCCCCACTCCCGTACCCCACCTTCGCGCCCGGCCTCCCCCCTCACCGCTTCTTGCCGGGATCCTTCCACACCCGCCCGGATTTAGGTTTTCCCTTGGGAACCGCCGGCGCCTCCTTGCCCTTCTTGGCCGGATTCCGCCGCTGCAGGGCCAGGGCCGGTGCCGGTGCCGGTGCCACCCCCAGGGTCGCGCCGCTGCCGGGCTCCCCGGGGGCACCCGCTTGCCCGTCCTCGGGGCCGAGCGGCGGAGCCAGAGGCTCCTCCCAGCTTCGCTCGGGCGCCGGCTCTAGCCCCTGCGCCTGCAGCCTCCGGCTCCTCCGCAGCCGCCCCCTGGCCCTGAAGCCCCGAGCCGGCTCCATCCCCACGTGTCCAGCTCCAGCCTCGCGCCGCGTCCCTCTCAGCGTGCCAGCGACGTCATTGGCGCGAGCGACAGGAACCGTTCCCGAATCTACGCGTACTCAGAATCAAAGCACACCAACGTAAGGTGCCATGTTTGTGAGGGGCACCATCGAAGAGCCCGCCCCCCTGTCCGCCATGTTTGTGAGGGGAACCCTTCAAGAGCCCACCCCCTGTCCGCCATGTTTGTGAGGGGCACCATCGAAGAGCCCGCTCCCCCGTCCGCCATGTTTGTGAGGGGAACCATTCAAGAGCCCACACCCTGTCCGCCATGTTGGTGAGGGGCATCAGAGGGAAAGGTAGGGTTGCCAACTTTCTAATGGCAGAAACCTGAACAGCCTTGCCCCGGCCCCGAAGTCCTGCACCTACCCACCACTGCTCCGAGGCCCCGCTCCCTCCCTACCTTGCTCACTTTTCCATTTTCACTGGGGGGTGTGGGCTCTGGGGTGGGGCTGGGATGAGGGGTTTGGGGTGGAGGAGGGGGCTCAGCTGAGGCAGGGGGTTGGAGCATGGTGGGTGAAGGCTCTGGCTGGGGGCACTGGGGTGGGGCTGGGAGTTCTGGGGTGGGGCTGGGGATGAGGGGTTTGGGGTGCAGGAGGGGGCTTTGGGATGGGGCCAAGAGGTTTGTAGGACAGGAGGGGGCTCGGGGCTGGGGCAAGGAGTTGGGGTGGGGTGTGGGGTACTGGCTCCAGGAGGGAGTTGAGGTGTAGGAGGAGTTCAGGGCTGGGGCTGGGGCGCTGGAGGAGGTCAGGGGTGCAGGCTCTAGGTGATGATCAGGGAGCAAAATGAGGAACAAAGCATTTCACAAAATAATAGCACTTTTAATCTGAAAAGGCAATTGCACAGGAAGAGGCTGGTATATACTGAAATGATAACACAGTTGTTCAGAACAGCATTATGCGGTTATTCTCTTCAGCGCTAATGCTAATATTGCCATGTGCTGATTATATGCCAGGGTGGCCAACCTGAGCCTGAGAAGGAGCCAGAATTTACCAATGTACATTGCCAAAGGGTCACAGTAATATGTCAGCAGCCCATCAGCTCCTCAACCACACTCCCAGTGCCTCCCACCCACTGGCAGCCCCACCAATCAGCACCTCCCCCTCCGTCCACGCACCTCCTGATCAGCTGTTTTGTGGCATGCAGGAGGCTTCGGGGGGAGGGGGGGGCTCAGGGAAGGGGGAAGGAAGGGGTGGAGTGGGGGCAGGACCTATGGCAGAGCCAGGGGTTGAGCAGTGAGCACCCCTCGGCACATTGGAAAGTTGGCGCCTGTAGCTCCAGCCCCGGAGTCGGTGCCTATGTAAGGAGCCACATATTAACGTCTGAAGAGCCGCATGTGGCTCCGGAGTCACAGGTTGGCCACCCCTGTTATATGCAGAAAAGACATTCATTGTGTGATTGACATAATAAAAGGTGTGAGCTCTAAGCAGAATCCTGACGCTTGCCCGTTTACCAGTTTAAATAAGGCAGTGTGTCCCACGGACCTCATTTTCCAAAGATTTAGATTCATAGTTTTTAAGGCCAGAAAGAGCCATTAGACCAGTGGTCCCCAACCTTTTTCGTCTGACGAGCCACAGAGGACCGTGACGGCGGACGAGCATCCACTGAAAATCCGCCGACAAGCGGCATCGTCATTAGGTGGCATTTTGGCGGCGACGCCTCTGGATGACGCTGCTTTTCGGCGGCATTTCGGTGGATGCTCGTCCGCCGGCCAGTACGCGGGAGCACTTAAGATGCCCCAGAGGGTGCCATGGCGCCCACGGGCACCGTGTTGGAGACCCCTGCATTAGACCATTCTAGTCTGACCTACATAACCTAGGCCAGATAGGTTCACCCAGTTACCTCTGTATTGGTGTATGTAAAACTGTTTAAGCAGTTCACATTGTCACCATCTCTTGATTCTCTTATGTTGCAGTTTGTCGGCACCATGATATTGAGCAGACTAGTTGGATGCTGTATTCCAGAATAAAAGTGATTTCATTCCAGAATAGTTACTCCACTTTGGAAGCACATTCTGGAGTAAAGTGGCTTTTATTCTGGAATAGAATGTCCAGATGGGGAGCTATTCTGAAATAGTTATTCTGGTTAGTTTCCTTATATAAACAAGCGTCTCCTAAGGAATCAATGTCTAGGGTATTTTGAAGTGACATTTTGCAACAAGCCTTTTTGTTGACATTCCACAGCTAAAGGAACATTTATTCTTTCATTTTTGACTTAAAATGTTGTTTTGTTTCAGATACTGAAAAAGTTCAGTTTTCCTTTGGGTTTGGGGATGTTTTGGAAGTTCCTCTTTTGGTGACTTTCTCCTCTTTGTTTTTTTCAATGGAGGAAAAAAAAGCAAAAAAGTGGTTGAAATCCTCCCTGCCCTCTTTTTTAAACTTCTTCCAACTCGGAAGAGTTAAAACAGTGAAAACTTTTGAACTGAAAAGATGTGAAAAGTTTTTTTAAAAGTAATTAAAAGTGCTACTTTATTTAATTTGTAATTTCTTTTACAACTGAAAAAAAGTGTGAACAAGTATTTCATTTTATTTTTACTTTTCTTAACTTGTTCCCCATTTTTCTTCACTGGAAAAAGTGAAAAAAGGGAGTGGGGGGTAACCATCCCAATTTCTTCAGTTTTCAAAAGTTGAAATGAAAGAGTATAAATTGAAAGACACTGAAATTTTTAATTTCAAATCTACATTTTGAAATGCAACAATAAATCTCGTTTTGTTTCAAAGTGGCATTTCAAAACAAAATGAGTGTGGGTTTTTTTTGCTTTAGTTTTGAAATGCCCCACAGAAAACCGTTTTCCAATCGGAAAATTTAAAAACAGAATTTTTCCTGTGGAAAGATCCGGGGACAAATTCTAGTATTCTGATCCAGTCTATATAACACTTTCTGCTGTCGTTGTCTAACAGCTGACCCTAAGCCGCGCTGAATATCTGCAATGCCCAGTGCAGTGAACTAGAACTCTGAGTACTCAGTAGTAAAACTGGGTAGAAAACGGATCCCATCTTGATAACATTTTTGAGATTTTGAAATTTTTCTTGGCCCAAATCGGGATGAAATGTGAAAATCTCAAAACATTTTGCAAACTGAAAAATCTGAATTTTTTTTTAGTTTCTGTCGATCAAAACATTTCATTTTGATTTTTACCTTTTTTAATTAACTTTTTTTGCTATCATTAGTTTAAATTTCTAAACAAAAAGTAGTTTTGCACTGAAAAAATTGATTTTTTTTGTTTGAAAAATAAAATTCTAACTCTTTTGTCCCCAATTTTTTCAAAACAAGAACTTCCTCAAAACCACCCTTTTCTCATAAACCATTTTGGTTTCAGTGAATTGGCATTTCCAAAAAAAAAATTTTTTTTTGCTGAAAAATTCCTGACTAGCTCTAGTCAGTATCACTCAGAATCCGGACTGGTAAGGTTCTAACCTCTAGTGAACACTTCTCAAATTCGAAAGGTAAGCTTGGTTTTGAATGAACAGATAGGGATGTAGATAGACATAACATTCTGTGGGAACATTTGTTATAATAATACTGTAAGCTCAGGCTAATATAGCAAAAAAAAAAAAGACATCTTTAGCATTTGCACGGTAGAATCAACCTGGCAACACACGAGGGGTGGATTCTTGCTGGAGCTGTGAAGGGAACAAGGAAATCTGATACATTTATATTGCCCTAGAGGTGTGGCTTTCCCGTTGTGGCGCACTAAATCCTTCCTGGTGGGTTACAGAATGAGACATTTTAAGATCCAAGCAATAGGAGTGGTGGGATACTGGAAGACAACTGGGATACTGGAAGGGAAGGGAGATCAGTGAGAAGATCTTTTTTTTATGACATGATCCTCAGAGTGAAAGAGTTGGATGACCACTGCCATAAAACCAAAGAAGATTGGGAAGAAGTTAGGAGGTGAGTGAATGTGATTTTAAACAGCAGTAACCCTGGTGGTCCTAAGCGCTTTATTCTACAAGTCCTGACGGCTGCTAAGGATTTGACTTCCCCTCAGAAATATGTTGTTTGAGAGCATCAGCAATGGCTGAAGAAATCATTCTAAGGACCTGGAAATCAGCAAAGAAGTCAAGTGCTAAAGGCTGGTCCATAAAACATGTGATCTAGATGGGATAATACAACATGAAAGGAGAACGAGTGAGGATTTTCAGGAGACAGAGGGGCCAAGTTCTTGGTAGAAGCCCAAGACATCAGGAGTTACTGAGGGCTGAATGTGGCATTTACATGGAGATCATGGTATCACTGCTCTGTTCTGGGACAATCAGGATGTCATGTCTCTAGGTTTTTTTTTTTTAAATATATCACACGCTGCCTTGTATGTTCCATCACGTAATAGAAGTGTTTATATCTGGTTACCGAATCTGTTACCTTTTATCCACAGCCCATTGCTTACAGCACTCCTTTACTGCAACACAAATAAAAAAAATTAAACAGACCCCCACTCTCTGCCTTGGTGCAGTAAAGTTGTGTGAGGGGACCAGGGGGCAAAGACCAAGAAAAAGGGATGGATCAACTTCTACTCCATAATCCTGTTGACTCCCGCTGTTTTCCCCATCCGTCTTGTTTGCCTGTGCAGACAGGAGGGTTTGTGGAATTGGGGGAGAGGCGTGAGCAGGACGGAAGGATGGCTTTGGAGTTCACTGTCTTGTGCTCTGGTTGCAGAGAGTTCCAGGGATCATAGGAGGATTTGAGGGGAGAGGGAGGCCTGGGTTCAGTCTCATTCCAGCTCCTCTCCCATTACTGACTGGCGAGTTTGAGGGGCCAGGGAAGGTGTGTGTGGGTCAGTTTGTTTTCACCGTCCCCATACAGGCTGGAGCGTTTAGGAATCAGGGGAGGGTTTTGGGGTGCAGAAAGTCAGAGTCTCCTGCCTCCTAATTTCGGGGGGGGGGAATTCAGGGGTCAGAGTCCACGAGGGGATTCTGTGAGGAGGGTCCTGAGAGAGGTCATGGGCTGCAGTAGGTTACAGACAGGAGAGTTTGTGGGGAAAGTCAGCGGATACTTTGAGCATTAAAGCTGCTCTCATCTCTCAGTTGGGGGCTCAGGAATAGTGGTGTCTGGCTCAGCATTTGCCCCTATCCCCTAGACACAGAAGAGTGTGGGGGGGGGGTAGGGTGGGCTGCAGGAGATGTTGGGGCTCAGAGTTTGCTCCCTCTGCCGTCCTGCCTGGGAAGGTGAAGAAGTGGCCAAGGGTCCATGTCGCTGTGGCTCCAATGCAGGAAATCTCCATCATGTTCTCAGTGCACCTGGGGGTGGGAGGAGCAAAGCCGGCCTCTGCTCCATCACAGCACCTGGGGAATAATCAGAGAACAGAATTCACCTTCCCATCTCATCAGGATCACACTGAAAACCGGCATTTGGCCCCTCCCCACCTCCGCCTTTTCTGACAGTAGTTCATCCAGGGGAGGGTTAGAATCCTTTGGTGGATCAACATAGAGGTAAAGCGCTGGACTGATCCAACATGGGAAATGAATTCCCCTTTCCCCAAGGAAAGGGGTCAAGGGGATCTGATTTTGCTCCCACTGAAATCCCTGGACAAACCCTCATTGATGTCAACGGGGCTCAGCTAGTGGCTCCATTGTCAGAGCAACGGGGCAGGAGGTCTCTCAAGGGCTAAGGGAAGGGGAGTCTTTCTGCTGATGTCAATGGGCTATGGATCAGGCCTGAGATGAGGAGCACTGTGTGTGCACGGTTGCTCCAGGGTTGGAGGGCAGGGAGTGTGTCTGGGCTCCAGCCTCACCATCTGCGTGTAGTCCTGCTGTTTCAAGGCCTTGTGTCCATACACCAAGGCGGCGATGGCCGTGCATAGCTCCAGCAGGCACAGCAGGATGAATATCGAGTTAATCCCATGACTCAGAATCTGTGGGGAAGAAAGCCCAGGGGAAGTCATCCAGCAACTCCATTGCATGGAGCCACCTCATCCCGGGGGAGGCCTGTGCCCCAGCTGGGAGGTGTCATTACTACACAGCGAGGGGGTGAGGACTGCCTGAGCTCTCCTCTCTGCCACATGCCCTGATAGGGGGCAGGTCATGGCAATGGGGCCCAGCCATCCAGTGGCCAGACATACTATGTGTTGGGTCCTGCATGGCACTGACTAGGACTCAAATTGGCTGCATTAGGCAGTGACTCTCCCAGTACAACCAAAGGGAATCCCTTCTCCTCCCAGGGCTGAGCTGGGCAGAGCCTGTCTTGTTTCAGAGTCTAGCGCCCTGCCCCTCCTTCATCTCTGGCTCTTCTCCTGCCCCTTGTTCTCACTCGCTCTGTGAAGCTCACCAGAGACGCTCATAGCTTTGGCAGGGCCGTGGGCCAGGTCACACCCATGGGGTCCCAGGTAGATTTCAGTGACCCACCTAGCGTGTTTGAGGGAGGAGGGTTTGGCAACAGGGTGGAGGGCAGGAAGGGGGGAAGCGGGGCAGCTTCTCATGGCACAATATGGGCCCCGCAAAGGCCACGTATTAAAGCATAGTCTCTGTACTGTTCCCCTCACTACGGCCATTGTGATGGCTGCCATCTTGGCTGGCGCACCAGGAACTGAGCTTGGAGCCTCTGGAGTGTGGTGTATTGGAAACGGTGTTAAAATTACAAGCACTCACTTTATATTGTAGGGGATCAGCCTTAGCTAGCCTCTGGGGGAACTGAACTGGGGAATCTCTAGAACTAAACTATTGAGTCTTTACAGGTTGAGCTAAAGAGCCAGGCTCACAAGTAGCTCTTGTGCACCAGGTGCTATGGGGACCCATAACACCCACACACTGACCCTACACCCACTCCTGAGCTTCCTCCCATAAGGCTGTACAGCTGAATGATCCAGTCCCCATTCCGGGCTACATACTGATGGTATCATTATACCAGCGGGCCAAGGAAAAACTGGTCTCTTTAAATCTCAGGGTGCTGAGTTGAAGCAGTTCTCAGTGTGGGCCCCATCTAGCCCTGGGGCAATGCTGCTGTTGTGGAGGCACCCCATTAACAAAAGAGCCCGTTCCTAACCTCTCCCTACTTATTGCTAATCTCAAGCAAGCAAAAATCATGAGCCTCAAAGAATTGCAAGTTTGGTGTAAAAATCATGAGATTTAAACCCCCCCCCCCAAATATGGGGTTCATTTTATTTGCCTTTCAGTTCCCCACAGCCAGAAGCCTGGAGGAACCTTACTTTTTTTTTGGTTTTAAATGGCAGCTGAGAGTCTCAACTAATCAACCTAGTCCAGGAGCTGGGGCTTTAAGAAAAACACCAAATATTGTGCAACTCAAATAAATCTGCAAGAGTTGGCAGCACCGCTTGCATCTGAGCCTCTCAAAGGGAGGGCTTCACAAACATTATGATGGCCAACTCACCTGAGAAAGGCACTATTAGCCCTATTTCCTAGATGGGGAAACTGAGGCATAGAGTGGGATTGCAGAGCAAGTCAGTGACAGAGCTGAGATCTCCTGACCCACCCTGGTCTAGTGAATAACTACTAGAGCTTCCTGCCCCTCTTGTTTGATTGAACCCCCCACCCCCAATCAGGTGGACAGAGGGATTCGTTGCCCCTTGCTGAGTTTCTTTTCTCATGTTGCAGAGCCAGTGGGTCCTGAGAGGGATGATCCCAGGTCTCCTGGAGTGCTAGACCCAGTCAGGCCCTGCAAAGAGGCTGTGGATTGCTGCAGGAGTGGGGGGGAATGGAAGAGGTACCCACGTAGACAGATTGGGAGCAGTTCAGCGGGGTCATTTTGCCGCCCTCATGTATGTTGCACCACGGGATTTCTTGGCTGATCTCCACGCTGTGAATGATCACAGCTGTCAGGGTGGCCAGGATGACCAGGCCGCTGATAATGTAGCAGACTTTCACCTGGATCAATCACAGCCAATTAGAGGAGAGCAGGGCACAACATCTGTCATCATTACAGCACTCACCGAGATTAGCGCCCCAGTGCAATGGCGGCCCTACAGGCAGTCTCTGCCTCAAAGGTCTTACTGTCCAAACAGACTAGGCAGAAAGAACTGTTATAACCCCTGTCCCCCGCCTCCCACTCTACAGGTGTGGAACTGGGGCACAGAGATGTTAGGTGCCTTGCCTGAGGTCAAATCTGTGGCAGGACTGGGAAAAGAAACCGGCTTTCCAGATCCCCAGGCCAAAGCCTTAATTACAAAGCCATCCTCATGGCACGTTTATAATAAGGGTGTAATCTCTAAAGGCTCTGCTGTCTGCAGAGGCAGGCAGCCAGTTTGTGTCCAGTTCCTCTCACACAACACAAGTAACAGTTTGGAGGACGAGCAACTGCCACATCCGGGCCAATCAGCTGAGGCACCTGAGCCGACAGTCCATGGGCTGAAACAGCTGGGGCTGCGTGGCCTACGTTGGGGAGCTCTGGGGTCTGGAATGGACTTCCTGTGCTGGTCTACGGAGTCTGAGCCTGTTGACTTGGAGGATGCAGCGTATCTGTTCCAGCAGGGGGCGATGGGGCTATATTGTTATGCAGTTGTGATATTAAAGTCCTAGGGCTCTATTTTGTGAGGCTCGGAGCCCCATCAACTCCCAGCAAAGTCCGTGGGCTCAAATCTTCATTCCGGTGGATGCAGGAATGGAGAGGGTTGGGCAAATGTGGTTAAAGCCACCCTTGCACATCCCAGCCCCTAGTGTAAGGGTCCATCTACACAGCAACTGGAAGATGTGACTCCCAGCTCAGGTAAACGTGCACATGCTAGCTCCTAAAACTAGCAGTGCTGGCCACAGCGGCACAAGCCAGGTAACCTGAGTATGTACCTAGGATCCTGGACAGGGTTGTACTCGGGGCCACCACCCATGCCGCCATGGCCACGCTGCAGAGCAAGCAGATGTTCGTCTGCCTGAGCTGGGAATCCCACCTCCCAGCTGCAGTGTAGAAACGGCCTGAGTTAAAGTAGGCTCAGGGCTTCTGAAATTTACATCCAGGCTATGTAGGGCCTCCTAGGTGCCATCAACCGCTGTGGCTAGCTGTAGTGCAGCCCTGCACCAGTCCCACTCCCATGAACGAAAATGCTTGGAGGATATTTACCAGCCGGATGCTTTCTTTTCTCTCAGCCTCCACCAGCACAGATCCTGAGGACACGAGCTGCCCAGGGAACAGCAAATGGGGAAGAGTCATTGGCAGGTTCCCATCCCACTCAAAATCACACGCACGTTGGAACTGGGTGGAATGAACCCCACAGGACTATGGGCCATGGAAGCCCTGCCCCACAAGCAAACACAAGACTGGGGGAGGGATAGCTCAGTGGTTTGAGCATTGGCCTGCTAGATTCAGGGTTGTAAGTTCAATCCTTGAGGGGGCCGTTTAGGGATCTGGGGATTGGTCCTTCTTTGAGCTAGATGACCTCCTGAGGTCCCTTCCAACCCTGATATTCTATGATTGTCACTAGGATCAAGGTGGGGAGTTCAATGGTGGGATTGAGGTCTCACAGGCTCTCAAGTCCCATCTCATGGGATTCCCACTGCAGAGGAGCTGGGATTGTCCCAAGTTTTCAGAAGCTAAAGGTTCATTGTCTGGTGCCACAGTGCAATCTGCTGGGTGTTTCCTTATGGAAAGGTGGCTGTGAAGTTTTCCAGATGGGATTTGCTTTTCCTCCATGTCACCATCTGGATACATAGCCTCCATGACAGATGGACAGGACTCTAAAGCCTATATGCACGGGTAACTGACCCTGAGCTTGGGATTCAGAGAGAGAATCGCATGAACCTTTTGATCTAAGAATAAGGGCCAATTTAGTCCCCTGCTGATGGCTGCATCAGTTTCAGTAGTGTCTTATGGGGTGCCGCCACTAGAAAGGGGGGAAAGATCTACCATCTCCCAGACTGGGGTGTATACGCAGTGGAGCCTGATTGAATGTAGGGGTGAATTTCCATTGTACCCCAGAGGAGTTCTTCCCTGCCAGAGCTGGGGCCTCTCTGTCGCAGCGGTGATTGGGGGGTGAAATCTAGCAGACTGAACCCCTCCCTCACACCAGCCTGGGGAATGGATCTGATCCGGGACAGGATTGGGGTAGACCAATGTCATAGGGGTAGGGTTGCCAGTCTGCCGCAGCATTCAGGGGTCTCTCCCATGTTTCCATGAGCCTCATTTGCAGGCCTGCAACCCAAGATGTGTGTGAGCGCTGATGATGGCATTCTGGCCCAGGATGGTGCACATCTGCATGCCGTGACCCTGCACCATGGGGGGCCTGATGGAGCTGTCAAAGTGTTTGCAGGGTCACCACCATCTTCTCCTCCCCTCCCAAGGGCTCAGTGCATAGCACACTCCCTGTTGTTCTGAAAGCCTGCCTGGCTATGCTCACTGCCTTCTGTGCCATAGTCCAGGGCATATGCCAGAGCAGATTTGTTGAGCCATGCCCCTGCCGCCCCTGAAACTGGATCAAAGGGCTGAGCTTCTCACTCCCGGAGCTGACTGTGCCTACCAGCAAGCCAATCCAGAAGTAGACTCCGCTGGCCACGGTGAGGGCTGGGGCTGGGGATTCAGTTATCATCAAGGCAATCCCAAAGGAGATCTGAATGAAACCAGATACGATCTGTATGGCCTAGAGGGGAAGAGGAGATGGAGCTTGGTGTCACTTATACACAATATGTGCAGCAGCATTACCATGATCTATGGCATCACTGTTATCACCATAGCCACCACCACTGACATCATTACCTCCATCACCCTGCTATCACCCCATCACCCTGCCAACCTCATCACCCCCACCATCATCATCCCGCCAACCCCATCACCCTGACATCATCATCACCCCCATCAACCCAACCAACCCCATCACCCTGTCAACATCATCACCGTCATCAGCCTCACCAATCTCATCACCCTGCCAATGTCATCAGCACCACCAAACCCATCATCCTATCACCCTGACAACCCCATCACCCCCACCATCATCACCACCATCATCCCCACCAACCCTATCACCCTCACCAACCCTATCACTCTCACCAACCCCATCACCCTGCCAACATCATCACCCTGTGAAAGTGAAATGAATTATATTAAAGAAATAGAATGAATTAAAGAATGCTGTATGTACCTTTAAGTAGAAATGAGAAATGCTGCAATCCAGGTGTCAGGAAAGCAGACATTAACTGTTAATCAATTGCTCCACTTAAGGGCGATTGGTGAAGCATTAGCCTTAGATCGATAAGAGTTAATAAGGAAGCAGGATATGCATATTGTGCCCCAGGCAAATTTTACAATTTTGCTCTCTCTGTCCCTTTGTTTAGTTCGCACCCTTTTATCTGTATAAATAAGACTGTTTGAATCTTGCATGGTGCTCACATTATCTGAGTGTTATTAGCAGAGCACTGTGCTAATAAAACAGAGTGGTCTGACAAACTGAGTCCTGAGTCTAACTTTGACAACCCCCATCAGCCCAACCAGCCCCATCACCCTGCGAACCCTATCACCCCCACCATTATCACCTCCATCAGCCCCACCAACCATATCACCCTCGCCAACATCATCACCATGCTAATGTCATCAGCCCCACCAACCCCATCACCCTGCCAACCCCATCACCGCCACCAACCCCATCACCGCCATCATCCCCACCAACCTCCTCACCCCTATCAGCCCCATCACCCTCGCCAACATCATCATTACCACCAACCGCCTCACCCCCGCCATCAGCACCACCCTCAGCCCCACCAATCCCATCACCCTGCTAATATCATCACGCCATCACACTGCCAATGTCATCAGCACCATCATCCCGTTAACATCATCATCACCATCACCCCTGCCAACTCCATCACCCTGCAATTATCATCATCACTCCCAGCACCCCCACCAACATTATCACCATCGCCCCATCACCCTGCCAACATCATCACCGCCATCACCCCCACCATCAATGCTAACCATCATCTTTACCATCCCCAGTACCGTTATGAACAGCAGCTGCATCCCCACTACTGCCATTGTCATTATTTTCTGTTTTCTCCCCCCACCCCGCCTGGGGAACAAATTGTGACTTTCCATCACATCGCCACTTCAGACCTCCATTCCTGGAGGAGCTCATCTCCTGATGACCCACAGTATCTGAGACACACATGCTCAGCTTCAGCCCTTGGGTTAGCCCCAGACCCTAAACTTATCAGCAGAATGAGAGCAGATGGGGGAAATCAACTGGGTTGAGGCACCAAAATCCTCCCATGGAGATAATCCTATCTGTCTTACATTGCTGGCTGGCCAGCATTTTTCTGGGCACACAGGGAGATGTTTATGTCTTTGGATGCCAGGGAGCTGTTAAGCTAGGAAACCCTGTAGCTGTAGCACTTTGTGGTGTGCTCTTGCCAGCTCTCGCCAGCTAAATGGGGCTCAGGCTGTGTTAATAGCACCAGGGGAGGCTGGTGATGCAATAGGGGTGTTCTTCATTTGGGGTTAGCTCCAGACTTGCTCCCTAGGGAAAGTGGGGCACTTGCCTTTTGGAGCAGAGATAAAACTGAGGTCACTCATGGTCTTTTAAGATGCCAAAGGGGGAGGCTAGATCTGGCCTCCTGGCTCATGTAATTACACACTGCCTTCCCCAAATTTCCCTCCTGCTGTTTCACTTGCATATGGCTGCGGCACAGTTGTTGTGCGTCACCCCAGAGGTGGCTGCATTTCAGTGGCTGGAGGAGCTGCAGCGTGGAATCTTTAGGGATGCAAGGGGCTATGTGACCATCCAGTGGGGGGAGAGGGGGTAATGCTTACAGTTCAGCTGGCACTAGCTGGGTCCCCTGTTGGGCCATCTCAGCAGCCAGGCAAGGGCTGAATGTGCAGGGCGCATATTCCAGTTCTAAGACACACACACACACACACACACACACACACACACACACACACACACACACACACACACACACACACACACACACACACACACAGTCAAGGGTTAATTCTTGCTTCTCTAGGCTTCACCCACAGCATCCTTGCAAGTGAAGGCAAGGAGAGTCCATTAGTCTCCTAGAGAGCCAAGGGGAAGGGCCCAGCTGCCCCTCGCTAAGTGCACTGTGTGTGTGTGGGGGGGTCACTCTCAGTTCCCCTTCGTTCATCCAGCAGAGATGTCAGACCCTCACCCCCAGCGCCTTGGGCTGTGCCTTCCTGAAGCCTTTGACCTGGGCCGAGCTGGGCTGTGGTGCCGTTGAGTCCAGCTGTGCAGCCCGGGGGTCGGTCTGCGGGACGACCTCTGTGACGATCTTCACCCCCCCGGATTCTGTCACTGTTGTTGCCATTTTGGTGCCAGCTGTGGAGAGAACGGGAAAGTTGGGGTCAGCAGCAGGACAAGGCAGGGGCAGGGGAATAGCAGCTCCCCACTGCAGCAGTCAGGCAGAGGGGAATCCGCCGCCTCCTGCCAATGGAATGGGACAGCTGACTCCTTCCTAGCTGGGGAATCCCTTCAGACAAATAGCCTATAGGGGAAGGGTGAGCTTGCTATGGGCATCCCAGGGGCCTGCTCGCTAAGGTGATCCCAGAGGAGAGATCCCAGAGACCTGCTCTCTAAGGGGATCCCAGAGGAGAGACCCCGGGGGCCTGTTGGCCAAGGGGATCCCAGGGGAGAGATCCCAGGGGTGAGCTCACTAGGGAGATCCCAAGGGAGATCCTAGGGGCCTGCTTGCTATGGGATCCCAAGGGAGAAGTCCCATGGATATTTGATGTACAATGATCCCAATGGTTTACCCCTTAGGGTTTCCAGAAGGAGCTGGGGGAGGGGTGAATCCCAGGCTTCACTGAAAGGCAGTGCAGGGGCTAATGAGGCCAGTCCTGTGGCTGCATTCTGTGGGGACAGCAGGTCAGATCCTGGCCCCTGTCACATCCCAGGCACCTGGAAGTTATGAGGCTGCAGGCTTCGGGGAGTGGGGAAGGGGTCATGGCATGAGTAACCCCGCTCTGGGTAGACTGCAGTGAAGACTGGTGGACTAGCAATACGAGTAGGTCCCCAGGATCCAGGGCGGGCTTGGACAGCTCACATTGAAACCTGCCACATCTTCACTGCAATTTTGTTTCACACTAGCTCGATGAAAGCTAGTGCGGGTATGTCACAGTGCTGCAGTCAGACCTCTGAGAGGAGCATGGACATACTCAAAGATTGCTTCATGCCAAACACGTGGGTGGAATGCCCTAGCAAAGGGAGAAGAAATCCCAGGGGATAAGGATAAGTGAGTGGGTGGGGTTAGAGAGAGGAGGCCAAAGCAGGGAAGGAGGACACTCCCCATTTGCTGGGAGAAAGCAGGGCCTGGGGAACAACAGAACCAAACAGAGATGGGTGGGGGTGGGGGTGAGAAATGAAACAACAGGAAGAGAGAGAGTGAGAGGGAAAAACAGAATTGGTGTGAAGGGGAAGATACAGTAGAAAAGCTATAGGGAGGGAGAAGGAAACAAAGGGAAGGACAAAAAATGAAGAGGAGGGACAAAGTATTTGGGAGACCAGATCCCAAGGCTGTGCTCACCATGGGGATCTCCAGGTGAGCTCCCTATGGGAGGGAGGGATAGAGTGACTGATGCAGAGGAGGAGGAGGAAAGATAAGAGAGAAAGAGGGAGGGGGAAGAGAGAAGCACATAGGGGAATAAGGAGGATGGAAGGAGAAATGAAATGATGTACTCAAAGAGACACAGAGAGAGGGAAATCGGCAGAGACGCATTTTGACTCCTGCTGTTCAGGACTCTTGATGGATTCAAAACTACCACGATGCAAGTGCCAATCTAACGATTGCCCCCCAGTTCCTTGGAAATCTCCTAGTCCCCCAGCCCCCCAACCTAACAATCACCCCCCAGTTCCTTGGGGATCTCCCCAGGGCTGTCCTTAGGATTTATGGGGCCCTATGCAGTATTATTAAATTGGTGCCCCTATGCCAGATGGCAGCCCGGGCTCACAGCCTGGGGGTGGGAGGGTGCGGGCGGAGGAACGAGGCAGCAAAGGATAGCGAGACGCCTGGTCCACCTCACGATGGCAGAGAGTCACAGTTCCCCACAGAGACCCCCGTACCCTCGTCCTCACGCAGAATGGACATGCAGAAGGTACCTAATTACAAGCACTAAACTTGGGAATAAAAAATGTCAGTCACAGGTTTTTTGATATGCCCTGAAGTTTGCAGACATTTATTTGCAAAAACTTTGTAGTAAGGGCGAGTCAGCAGTCTTGCTGAATACAACATTAAATATTATGGAATACATGATGCAGCTCTTCTCTGTTTTACATTTTCTTAATCAGTATTTCTAAATTGCTTTTATATTTTAAATGTACTCTTAAGCCTTCATAAAGTAATCATTCCAGATTACTACATATTTAACTCACTGAAACAAAGACATTATTTTAAATTAATCAGTCACAGAGGTTTAGTGTGTTCATAACAATGTTCATTGCTTTTAGAAAAAGGGAACACTCATTTACTTTATGTGATCTCCATAACAATACACCCGTTTATGAAATTTCACCAACTTGAAAAAATATGTTTCCAAAGATTTTAGGCATAACAAAGGATTTTATATCTTACTAAGGTACTGATTTTGCTGGAGGGTTCTTAAAACTAGTTCATCAGAAATAAAGAAAGGGAAACTCTTTGTCCAGCTATCTGGAAGGAAAGGGCTGTTGTCCCTTTAAGGGCTCTCTTCAAGGTGCGGAGGTGGGGGGGGCGGGGCGGAGAGGGAGAAAGGGATTGACAGGAAGACTTTGGAAGCAAGTTTTTTTTACTATAGTAATTAAAATTAAAATGTGTATTTTAGATAAGGGTGGTTTTTGAAGGATTTATTTAAAAAATCATATGTCTGAAGATCCAAGCATTTAAGGCTAAAGATGATTGTGCATCTAAAAGTCTATGCAAGGATTTTTTAGAGATGTGATTTCATAATCTTCATCAACTCATTAATGAAATATTTTAAAGCAAATTTTAAACTAAGGTCTTGAAGACTAACATGTTAACAGATTATCGAGGGGGTGCAAAATTCAGTTTAAGATCAGGTGGCGTAAGGAATACATAATCTGCAATAGCCCCGCATCCCATAGTCCAGGGCATGCATCACAGCTCTACAACAGAACCATTACAGTAACGCACAACTGTTTTTGTCAGTAAATTCAGAAACTGACAGTATATACCTGGGGTTTGGCAAGTGCCTGTTAAATGGCTTCATTACCACTTGAATAGCTCTTTAACAGTTTCTGTGTTGTGCTAATAGGTCTGGCAGGCTGGAGGCTTTTTCACTTTTTACTACTAGATCTCCTCCGGAGTAAGAGTCACCAGGCTGCAGCAGCCAGCTGTGGGAGTTTGCAGGAAGGGTCAGAACAGGGATAGGAAGAGCCAAGGGGTGGACACTAAGACCCAGTGGTGTCCAAAATTTTTAGGTGCCCTACGCAGAATGGCTGCATTCTGTGTAGGGCACCTAA